GACTTATTTTTGGTGTCCTAGATTTGCCTAGGCTGTCTCTTTTGAGGTTTTCAACATAGCAGACTTTTTTTGTGGGACGTACATATTTTATACTCTTGCGGGCCAGTAGTAACGTGCAGTTTATGCTCTTGAATTAAGGAGCGTAGTGACTTGTAAGTTAAGCTCTTATTTTGAAGAGCTTTGCAACTTGAAGATTTTGCTCAAATTTGAAGAGCTTTATGACATACAGTTTAGGCTCGTGCGTCCAGGAGTGTAGTAATTTAAAAATTTAGCTTATGTTTCGAAATGCTTCATAACTTGAAGACTTACTCAATATTGATGAGCTTTGCAACTTGAAGTTTGGCTCCAATTTGAAGAGCTTCATGACTTGAATATTTAGCTCAAATTTGAAGATTTTTGCAACTTGAAGTTTCTCTCAAATTTTGTAAAGCTTTGCAACTGGAAGTCTTTGCTCGGTTTTGAAGAGCTTTCGACTTGAGTCTTTAATCAAATATTCTCATGTTCCAAAAAGCATTATAACTTGCAGTTTAGGCTCGTGCATTGAGGAGCATTTCAGCTTGCAGTTTAGGCTCATGTGTTACAGAGCATAGTGATATGCATAGACTCTTCGGTTTTATTTTTTAGATGAAAACTTGCCCCCATCGTAGCCTTCTTATTCTTTTTCTTCATCGTAAGTCTTAAAGAAAGGTAGCCCTTGGTCTCAATATTTGGCCATACTTAGTTCCATATCATGAACACGAGTTGCTAGTTCTTCAAAGGTTTTGGGCTTTAGGCCTTGTAAGATATAGCGGAGACCCCAATACATGCCTTGAATACATATTTTGATGCCAAAAGTTTTGCTAAGGCGGTCTTTGTAGTTGAGGTTCAAGCTCCTCCAGCAATTGATGAAGTTAATAACTGGCGCATCCTATCGTTGATGAGCATTTGTAATTTCAATCATACTTATGATGCGTCTTGTGCTATAGAAATGATTGAAAAACTCTTGTTCCAATTGCTCCCAACTATTGATAGAACCAGAGTTGAGATCTATGTACCAATCAAATGCATTACCTTTGAGAGATCAAACAAACTGTTTGATAAGATAATTTCCATACACTCTAGCATTGTTGCAAGTTTCAACAAAGTGCACTATATGTTATTTCGGATTTCCTTTGCCGCCGAATTTTGCAACTTAGGAGGTTGATAACCAACATGAATCTTCAAGTTATCAATTCTTTGCATGTACGGCTTTACATATGTGACAGATAATTTGGATGATGACTCAGGCTTATTTTTGATAGCTTCCATGATAAAATCTTTCAATTTCTCAACACGAATCAGACCTTCAGTGAGACTTGGATATCCTTGGTTGTCATTGCTTGCTTTTTGAAAGGGTCTCCTTTCTCTTGTGAACTTTGATTATTTAAAGGTGTTTGTGTGGATTCTCCTTCTACTATGCTATCCAATTTATTTGTTAACTTGGAAAGTTTAGCGTCTTGATCTTGCATACGCTTTCGCAAGCCTTCAACTATTTTTGTCAAATTTACAAGTTTTTCTTCCACGGTAGAAGCTTCAATAGCCATTACTTGCATGATCACCATAGAGGATGAAGAATGGTATGAATAATTATTAGGATAGAACTTAGAAGTGGCATTAATGGATGCTAGAGTAGATCCAATGCTCAAGTTATCATCATCGGCTTGCATGGAAGGTTTCTTGGACTTAGATAGAATAAGTTGAGGAAGAACCTTTTTGATCCTTTTGGCGACGTCATTCCCTTTTTGGGTCGGGATTGTTGAGAATCTTTCTCTTTTTGAGGATGAAGATTCGAAAATAGAGGTTGATGTGAATGACACTTGGAGTGTTTATTGTCCTAAAGAGTTTGATTTGCTCCTTGTAACTGGCTCAAAGCTTCAAAAGATAACATCGAAGCTGTTTTTTGTTTTAGTGTAGAACTTGGAATTAGCAGGCTCAGATGATTTAGATTTGGAGTTATTCTTCTTTGAAGCCATTTTGATATTCTTGAAATTTGCTGATTAAAAATTTGAGATGGGAGGTAGAGATTATCCCATAGGGTGTGCCAGAATTTGTAAACAATATATTTGCGTCAAGAAAATAATCGAGACCGAAAAATATTACAACAACCGTAGTATTTGATTTCAAATAGTATAAGTGTTACAATCTCTATGATTCCTCTGATTCTACTTTTCAATAGTAAATAAATTCAAGGGCCTTTGATCTTGACCTTGAATTTGTCCTTGTTTTTATGAACAATGATCTTGAATTAAACTAGCACGAACTTTGATTTGAACTTGTATTCCTTGAACCTTGATTTGTCCTTCACTCTTGAGCTTGAACTTAATATCTTGAACTTGAACTTGATTGCTAGAAGCTTGAAACTTATAGAGAAATTTGTGGTATTTGATCCACGGGCTTTGCATTGCTTCTTGTTATAACTTCTGGTGTCTTTTCTGAGTTATGAATACCCTTATTTATAGTTGTAGGAGGTAAGAGTTGCGATGAGAGCAAACTTTTTCTGACAAATCAGATTGAAGCACGGCAAGGCCGCGTTTGATGGCCAAAACATGTCACTTGCCCATATGGCACAGTTTCATAGGCTATTTGATTTGACTTGGCGCGCCTTGTCATTTTAACACATGGCACAATGCTCTTGGCTCATCCATTTGACTTGGCGTGCCACATCATCTGACACGCGACATCAAACTGGACCTCTAGGAAGATAACATCTTTGGCTTAATAAAGTGGGATCATCATATGTAGCCCAATGTATTTGGATTTATTTATTAATTCTGCAGTATGAACTTATATAACTTTAGCTAATAAATTTATTTGAACTAAATATTTAAAATATAGTCTGATTGAATTTAAATCCAATAAATTTTGCATGCATACACATTTAACTGCAAAAAAATCCATAATAAAATAAGGAAGTTCCAATTGAAACATATAACTCAGGGGATATAAATTTCAGTCATCCAAATATTTAAATTTTCCGCCACTGAATTAAAAATAATTCACATGAATTGTTGAATAAACCTACAGTATTTAGACTACCCACTGGTAGTCTATAGATCCATTGTAAATGTAAACCAATAGAATTCTATTGTAAAATATTAAGAACTGTATATCAATCATAAATTAGACAAGCATAGGGGTATGTTCTCGATTTGTTGTTTCTTAGTGTAAAGTATTAATTTAGTTACATTAATTCAAAATTGACAATTATTTGTAAAAAACTTAAAGTGGTACTAATTCATCAAATTGCAGATTTTGAATTGGATAAAATGGATTAGTATAACGTATCAATTATATCGGTATTAACTTAAGCCTATAATTAGTTAATACAACTTTCATTATATAGCCATTGACCATTATTACAACATAATGTTAAGACAATGTATGTAATTTAAAGACTAATTACCTATTCTAATCTATCAAAATATTACTTAATATCAACACATGTTGATATTACAAACCAATACTCAATATCCAATATTCATTTACCTTGAGGTATTACTTATTGACAACACTTCACTAAACAACACTCTTATACTTAGAGGTCTTGCTTCTTGAGTTGTTACGTGTTCTAAAATGACCAGCTTTTAATGATATGAAATACACCGCCAAGTATAATAACTTTAAATATTCCATGATGATTAATAAGATGTGTAAACTTTATAAAATCAAAAAAAAACAAGGTTAAACGTGGTGTAATCCTTATTTTAATGAATTCTCGACCATTAGTTTATCCTCGACTACAGTAAGAGTTGAGGACGCAACCTAAAGTTGACACTCGCACATTAAGGAAGTCTATTGATTTATATTAAATGTCTAGGGTTAGGGTTCAGGGTTAGGGTTTAGGGTTGGGATTGGGGTTAGGGTTTAGAGTTTATAGACCATTAAAGGAGTTTATCATCGATTAACGATTGTTGGAAGACAGCTCGTGTTGTTTAGGGAATTAAAATATGTCCACGTGGCCTATCACTAACCATATATTTTTTTACCCGTTTAAATTAACCCATTTAACCGGATACTCAAAATGAAATTGATCACATTTCAATCTTAATTTTTACTATCGAAAAACAATACTCAAACAATTGAAGAAAAATGAGTCAAGGGTCGAGTATGTCCTTTGGGTCGAGAAAGAATTGTCATTACAGCATGGTTGCCAGTCAATTCACAGCTACAACTCCGGTGAATGCTGGTAGGCTATTCCAAAATGTTCCAAACCTAAGGTAAGATAAATTTCACATATTTGTCTCTTTTTAATTTTAGGGATTCAATTTTGTTGAGAAAATATTTTTGCCATTTCATTTGATAGGGTAAAAGATGTCAATTTTGGGAATGTGACGATGATATGCTAGATCTAAAGATTGCTGACCTTATCAGTAGTTTGAAGTATGAAAATGATGCTCTTAAGCATAAAAAAAAAATTATTCTGCGAATGAAGGTGGTTGAAGTTGAAAATATATTGGCAATGGATGTTCATGAGGAAGATGATGATGATGGAGGGATTGAATTGGAGGGAGGGCATATTCCTGTAAATAATTATGCTGGAGGGATGGTTAAAATAAATGAAAAGAGGCTGAATATAAGTGAGTTATGGTCTTGTGCGTCGCTGTCGGATTCGTGGCAGCTTGGATGATTAAATGAGAAAGAACATTCGTTTACTGTTGCTAGAAATAGTTTAATTACAGTAAGTTTGTTTTGCTGGAAGTCTTTTGGATCATGTAATATTCTACTGATGTAATGTTATATTTGATGCAGTTATTAGATGCGCTGAGTCTATTATGCAATAAAGTAGCTAGTTTATTGATAGACCCAGTGTCTATTGCGCAACCAAATAGCTAGTTCATTGATGGATCCAGTATCTATTACGCAACTAAGTAGCTAGTTTATTACTATACATGTTGTCCATTACGCAATCTTGTTGTAATATAAAAAGAAAGTTCACCCAAAAAGATAGTTTCATTACAACATTAACAGTTAATCGCCAAAAAGATAGTTTCATTACATAGATTTTATCTCATGACCAACACAAACATAAATTACTAATAAAACTAAGAAGGGTCCATCCTTCCTCTGAAGATATACACTAAATATTTTTCCTTGAACAACTCCATTCGCTTGTCATTAAGTTGCACCAGTGGCGTATCAGTTAGGAGGAAGTTAATAGCCTTCACTACATATGCTTCACTTCTTTCACTACAATAATCAAAGACATAATTAGTTATTAAAGAAACCAGAAGAATGAGTAAAATATAATGGATGGCACATTTAATTTACCTTTGCTGAATGGATGACACATCTATAATACGCTCCCATGACCATTTCTTCGTAAGCTCATCTTGACCTAAATCTGTAAACTGGCCAGTTTTCATTAAAATCCTAGGCATCATAAGTGCGAGGGGTTGTACAAGTTCTATTAGTTTACCATCGTCATACAAATTGACATTGCTATCATAAATTCGAATCAAACCCTCTGCCAAGTGGAAAATGACAGGCATAAAATACTTGTTATTAATTTGCCACACAATACAAAACCTTAGCCTTGCACAACTCCACAGCCCCAGGTTTTGGCATACTTACTTGAGGATATATCATTAGGGGTGTCAAGTACAAGGCTTGGCAAGCATCAATTGTCCCACAAAAGTCCAAATCCTTCCCCTCTTTACTGGCAGCCTCCGTGATCTTATCCCATGAAGTGCACATGTTGTTGCATGATGCAACATCCATAACAACATGACTGCAGACATAAAGGAATGGACGTTTTATGTTTCATACACGCATCAGTATTAAAAGTTCCTCCACATGTTAAATATTATAAAATGTGTATGTTAAATATGGAGCTACTAAAAAAAGAAATATACGCAGTGATTAAGGGACTTACAAAAATGAGAACAGAAGGGGTAGCACTACACAACAGTTCAAAAAACCTCCAACCATATCTTCCAGTCAAGAAGTTTTTGGGAAACTTCTCCTTCTTGTCAAACCATTCATAGACAAAATTCTTATTTTCCTCCGCAACTGGTTTGAGTACGTCTACCTTCGATTTCTTCTTCTTAATCTGTTTCAATTTCCTCATCATGCTTGCAGAAATTGGAGCATTCCTGTCACACCTCCTTTTTCCACATGAAAATGGTATAAGGAAGTTTTTTCACTTAAAGTGACAATAATCGAAACGGGATTATTTATTCAAATTCAGAGTCGCCACTTGGGACAATTTAGTGTGTCCCAAGTCACCGGTTTAAAATCTCGAATGGAGGAAGTTGACTCTTATTTATGGTCTGCGAATACAGAAATCGGAGAAGGTGTTAGGCATTCCTGGGTTCTGTGGTTTTAGCATGGTCGCTCAACTATTATTATTGGCCTAATTACCTGATTAATTACATGTTTTAAACCTATTGTGCATTTTTAGCTTTTGACCACTTTTAATTATTTATGAAATTATTCCGGAACAAGTTACGATTATCGTACACTTGTTTGTTTGGTACACATTGCGACATTTTGTCACGGGAACCGTACCCACGATTTACAACGTGTTTAAATTATTAATATTATTAGTTGTTGTGGCCGGATCACATAGATGTACCCCGGATTTGGGAAATTATGTGTTACAACTACGTCACGGGAACCATACCCGTAGCTATGATAATTTATTATAAACGCCCCTAAAGCAAACTACGAATGTTCAAAGTATTTTCTACACTAGTTATGAATGTTCCAAGTCTTTTACGCACTTGTTTTGGTATTAATGTGAGGGCCATATATTATGGGATTCATTTGTGAATGGCACGCCTTGATTTATTTCAAAAGATTGCACTACACTAAAACAAACTACGAATGTTTGATAAGTTCAAATTTTCTAAAGTTTGAGATTAAGGCCAAGAATTTATGGAATTTATTCGTAGAATATGGAATAGATTTTAATTGACGAAGCATGCACACTCAAGCTATTTCAATAATTCTGTCAATCCATAAAGTAGATGTTACAATTATTTAAAAAGCAAGTAACTTGAAGTCATTTGACTAAAAAGGTAATACTGACGGACGAAGCAGCAATGTAAGAAGATACGTCTACTTACTAAAAATAAACAACTAGGCTGGTTCAAATACTTGGACACGTCCAGCAACATGAAATTCACATTTTATGACTAAGCCAAGACAAATCCTAATGAATGATTCAAATTGCACTCCGACAAATCCATTTCTAGTTATATTAAACTTTAAAATAAACGATTTGCCTTAAGTTGCAAGCACTCATTTCCTCACCTATTCCAAATAAAAATTATTAAGAAAAACTATCACTAATCGTACAACTCAAAACAGAAATCGCTTGAAATCAGTTAAATATTGCAGGCCAACTCACGCATGAACCATTGTTTAAATATCAATTTATTTGCTTAACCACTTTGACATTTAATTGAAACAAACATTTATAGCATGACATTGATTAAAGAATGAGAATTAAGCAAATTTAGAGAGCAAACAACATATCTGAAATACTAATCACAGATTCAGAAGAACAAATCAATTTTTATTTTGCTCTAAGTTCATAACAAAGCTGAAAATCTACATACCTACTAAAAGAGTGAACTCAAACAAATAAAGTCTGAAAATTGTAGAAATGGAGCTCAGTAGGGTTGGAATTTAACCAATACAGCTGCAACAATAAGAATCTCTATCCAGTTCCTCTTCAAACCCAGAATAGCTAAAGACCCAAAATGCTGAAGAACGAAAAAATATTTAATGAACCTTTTTCTGCAATTTTCTTTTCCGTCGTCTGTCTTTTTTTCTTTCTTTTTTCCTAACCTATAATGTGTATTTATAACACTCTCTTTAGGGCAACAAAATCAGAATTTTTAAATTCAAAACCACCCTTAAGAAATCTAATTTTTGCACAATTTTTACCTAAATTTTAAAGTATTTACTTATTCAATCCCCCATCCTCACTTTCCTAGAACTTTTCTAGGTAGTTATCAGAATATTCCTTGAGTCTAAATACCTTAAATATCCTTACCAATACTGTTATTCACCTTTCCAAATTAAAACTCCTCCCTCTCGGTCAAACAATTGGGCCGCAAAGCCCATTGGCATCCTACCTGGTCTTTGGTTAAAGAAGAAATAGAAGAAGAGGAAAAAGTAGTTAGTAAATAAAAACAGAAACAAAATAAAAAAAAATACACTAAAATTAAAATAACAAAACGGAAAATACATAAAAATAACAGAGACACTAGAAACCAAGAAAAATAAACAACAGATGAATTCAACACCAAATTTCGGCCTTGCATGAGTAAATTTAATCAAACTTCTTTGTTGACACAAGAATATACCCCAAGCTAATTTTTTGACTAGCCATGGAAATAATGGCACAAGTATTGGCCAAAAATTCCTAGTGGCTAATACTTTGTGTCACCACTTTTATTTCTTGCCGAAAAAGAGAAAGGGGATATTTCTAAATCTAAAATTTGAAGAGCATGGGTATTTATTTGGACAAAACAATGATGTATTAGGAGTGAGGAAGTGTTGGTGATTATGGGGAGGAGTTTGAGTAGGTTTGGGATTGTTTGGCGGCGGAGCCGTCGGCTATGGAGGTGAGGGGTTTGGGGGGTGGCTAGGGTTTTCTTAAAGGGAGGGAGATGAGAAATGAGTGAGGGTTTCTAGGTTTGGGGGAGTTAGGACAGTTATAAGGGAGGGGTGTGGTTAGTTTCGGACCGTTAGATTACATAGGATCGACGGCCAGGATTGAGAGCGACTATCGACGCCATTTGGTAGTTAAACGCAGTCGTTTGGGCTGACAACAGAGCTGGGGTTGGGTAAATGGTATTGGGTCAGGCGGAGCGGCGAATTTTGGGCTCAAAAAATAGCCCAGACCGGGTATTTTTTTATTTCCCCCCTTTTTTTTGTTTCTTTCTTCTTTTTCTTTTAAAAATTAATTTTAAACCTAATCAAATTAATTAAAGTCCTAAACTAACTAAAAATCCTAATTTATATTAATCTATTTTATAAAAATTATCATTATCTATTCTCACTTATTTTACACTAATTAATTAAAACTAAAGATGGAGATATGACTGTGGTAATATTTTGTCACGACCCGAATTTTTCACCCTCGGGAGTTGTGATGGCGCATACTAATGAGAGCTAGGCAAGCCAATCCTTAACTGCTTACATCGTTAACAATTACTTCTTTTAATAATTATCGGCGATAGCAAGAAAGCAACGGAATTAAATAAATATGCGGAAGACTTAAATTTAAAGAAAACTGAACAATAATGCGAGAACAACATATGCCTCTACCCAAGAACTGGTGTCACATTACTCACGGACTTCTAAGAGTGCTAAATACAACCGTTTGAAAGAAAATATAAACTGTTTGTCTCGAATATATGAGATAACAGACGGAAATAAAAGATAGAGGAGACGCCGGGCCTGTGAACGCCTGCAAGGCTACCTCAGTATCTCACTGGACTGAAGGCTGGCTCCCGCGCTACTGCTGCTGTCCAAAACCTGGATCTGTGCAAAAGAGCACAGAGCATAGTATCAGCACAACCGGCCCCATGTGCTGGTAAGTGTCTGGCCTAACCCCGGCGAGGTAGTGACGAGGCTAGGACCAGACTCCAGATAAACCTGTACAGTTATATAATATATGGCAGAAAAGTAAACAAGTAATAAGCAGTTAAAGCTGGGGAAGGGGAACATGCTTCGGGGATAGCAGTTAAAAGAAATAACAGGGAATAATAAGGAAGCTAGCACTATAACTTCTATCATAAATGAAGAAAATAAAGGCAACTTTCACTTTCAGTTTCCTCTTGTTGCAGGCGTGCAACCTGATCCCGTTTCTCATATCTCGTGGTAGGCGTGCAATCCGATCCCATTTCTCATATCTCGTGGTAGGCGTACCACCCGTTCCCACCGCGGATCGCGCAAGAAGGACCGCCGTCGCACAGGCTTCCTAAAGGCCTGCGGATCTATGCCCCGCGCGGACCGCACAAAACCGACCGCGGACCGCGCAAAGGCGACCGCGGCCACGCTGGCCCCTTCGCGACCACACGCGTTTCCTCGTGGGCCACGCAAAAGTGTTCAGAGACCTGTCAAAATTCCTGAACCTGCAACATCTGATCTTTTAAAGCCTAAGTCATCCCGGAACCTACTGGAAACTCACCTGAGCCCTCGAAACTCTAAACCAAACATGCACACTACCTCAAAAACATCCGACGAACATATTCCTGTGATCACATCACCAATGTAACATCATGAACATCGAATTGAGCCTTAAGATCAATGAAATTTCTCCAAAATTCCTTTCAAACATCAATTTCCCAATTAGGGTCCGGATCGCGTCAAACGACATTCGTTTTCAACCAAGTTTTACAGCAATGACTCAAGTCATATATAAGACCAGAACCGGGCGCCGGAACCAAAATACGGGCCCGATACCAACACGTTCTGATCAAATTTTATTTCAAATTTCTTTTTTTCTTTAAACATTTTCAGAAAACAATTTCACTTAAAAATTCATAACTCGGGCATGGAACCTCGGAATTCGATTCTGGGCATACGCCCATGTCCCATATTTTCCTACGGACCCTCCGGGACTGTCAAATCATGGGTCCGGGTCCGTTTACCCAAAATGTTGACCGGAGTCAAACTTATTCATTTCGAGGTAAAAACTTAGAAATTTTCACAAGATTTCACGTTTAAGCTTTCCGGCTACGCGCCCGGACTGTGCACACAAATCGAGGCGACTCTAAATGAAGTTTTCAGGGCCTCGAAGACAAATTTTAATTATAAACAGGTGATGACCCCTTTGGGTCGTCACATATTTTTATGATTTTGTTTTAATGAATGCAATTAAATTCTAAATGTAACTAAAACATAAAGAAAATGCCATGTAATGATTATTTGATATTTTTGGTATTTGTCTATGGAAATATGAAAAATGTGCACAAAAATGCAAATAATTAATTAAGAAAATCCTACAAAAAATTCTATAAAGCTAAAACTAATTTAGAAAACCTATTTTTAATTTTTGTATGAGTATTTCTGGTCGGGCAAAAATCACATGCTCACAGCTGCCCCTCTTTGCTCGGAAACATGAAGAGTTTTCGGGCAAAGATAAAGTGAGCAAATACGAGTGATTTTTGCCCGTTTGGATACTCCATGAGAAGCATTTTGAAAAGTCTGACCGAACCCTGCTTCTACGGTTGCCTACATATCCTTGGATGTAAAGGAATCAGGTTAGTGTAGTTCTGAAAGGTTTGGTAGCTGGGACTACCGAGAAGCTGTGATTCCACTGCTGCTGCCGCTGCTACTACTTGCTAAACTCCTTATTACACCGAAACAAAATAAAAAGAAACTTGGCTAATCTATGATCTACGAGTTACAAGAATCCTATCTATATATCTTAAAACCTGATTTTGAAACTTCTGCGGTTCTGTCGCGCATTTTGAACTGTTGACTCGCACTCTTGAGGTGAGCTGCTATTATTTCTAACTTGAATTGACCCATTCTTCAGGCAGGTCCCTTCTGCTTGACCTGATACTTGAAGTGACTTTCCTTATTTTCCAAATGGGCACCTGCAAACTTAGACTTGAAATGAATTCCCTTATTCTCCAGGTGGGCGCCTGTAAATTAAACTTGAAATGAACTCCCTAATTCTCGAGGTAGGCGCCTGATGCGGATTTAAAATTTGAGATAAATTCTCTTGTTCTCTAGGTGGGCGCCTGATTATGACTTAAAACTTGAAATGAATTCCCTTGTTTTCCAGGTGGGCGCCTGATGCTTAAACTTGAAATGAATTCCCTTGTTTTCCAGGTGGGCGCCTGATGCTTAAACTTGAAATGAATTTCCTTGCTCTCCAGGTGGGCGCCTGATGCTGACTTAAAGTTCGAAATGAATTTCCTTGTTTTACAGGTGGGCACCTGATGCTTAAACTTGAAATGAATTCCCTTGTTCTCCAAGTGGGCGCTTGACGCTGACTTAAAATTTGAAATAAATTCCCTTATTCTCCAGGTTGGCACCTGATGCTTAACTTTGAAATGGATTCCCTTGTTTTCAAGTGGGCACTTGTAACTTAAACTTAAAATGTATTCCCTTATTTTCCAGGTGGGTTCCTGATGCTTAAACTTTAAAACGGATTCCCTTGTTTTCCAGGTGGGCGCCTGATGCCAAAACTTGAAATGTATTCCTTTATTTTCCAGGTGGGTGCCTGCCATTACAACAAAATAGACAAAACAAAAGAAACTTTTCTGCCCCAGTTTGGTACTGGGAACATCTGTGAGTGTTAATCGAATCATGTTATCCAAAAGAACTCTAAGAATTTAAAAGCTAAATCCCATTATCCAGGAGGGCCCTGAAAATTTAAAATTAAATCTCATCTTAAGAGATAAAACTTCAAAGCTAAATTCTATTTCCTAAAGGTAAAACTTACGCTAAATCTTATTATCTATTAAGGTCTTAAAAACTTAAAACTAAATCCCATTATTCAGAAGGGTCCTGAGAACTTTAAATTAAATCTCATTATCTAGGAGGGTCCTAAAAAATTAAAATTAAATCACATTATCCAAAAGGGTCTTGAGAATTTACGGCCGAACCTGTCTGGCACATGCTTTCCTCAGGGAGAGTTCCTCCGGAACAAACGAAATTTCCTGCCCCTATTTCAATCAAAGAAAATCTTATCAGTTTGGAAATGTGGTGGTTAGTTTGCGGCATTCTTGCTGAAGGTGGCCTTTCCACTGCCATGCTGTGTTCCGATTAGCTGCCTTAGGCTAGCAAAGAATTGTTTGACCTTTTGATCGAACCTCAACCCC